AGGGAATATATACAAAATATTTATTCATTTTTTTATTAATTATAATGTGCTCTCATGACATTTTGAGATTTTTTTTCTTAAAATTTCCAAATATTCTAACCCAAGCATAATTCAGAATGAAAAAATTTACTTACAGGTATCATCCAGTTGGCTAGGTCACCATATTTGGAAACTTGCATTGCTCCTAGCATTGTTAAATCGACATGTCCCCTGAAAAAGAAAAAAATGAAATATAAAGCAAACGTCACAAGGTTTATGCTCTCATTGCTTGAAACTACCAGCCACTAAAATGATTCTATACACCCCCAAAATATATTTTCTTTCTCTCTCCACAACTGACTTCTAAGTAGATCAGCTCCAAGCTGATATAGAGAAATAAATAACCATTAAGAGTTCTTTAAAAAAATTATAACTTATATAGTCCCCAGAAACAAACTAGCCCAGATGTACACAGTCAGTTTGTTTTCTTTAATGAGGGAGAATATAACTCAGTTCAAAGGTAAACACTAGCTAGAGAGTGAACACACAATTTGAAGAAAACATTTGATCTTCAGAATGGACTTTAAGCATGTTTCTTCAACTGAGTTGGCACTAAGATATATTTTTCCACTGAGGGTTTGTTTCATAATGGTGGGCTGGATATTTCAATGCCAAACCTTCAGTGGGAATAATTTCATAACATCTTGCAGCCAAATAAGCTGTGATAGTTTTTTGGGTGTGAAATGGGACTAAGTCTCAGTGTCCTGCTCACGTGCTCAGGAATGATTCAGTTTATTCCACACCATGGGAAACATCAGGGGCTCCATTATTACATACCCTCTAATCATCGCAAATGATTCATCGCTGGAGAAAAAAGAGGCTCCTGGAAGAACAGTAACTGTTTCCTTGCCTACACACACACACACACACACACACACATGCACACACACACATACACACGAAGAAAAAAGGAAGAAAACACTATTAAATTTCTAAGAGAATCATGATAGATAGAAATGTATGTATCTTCACATCTTTTAAAAATTTTAATCTCTCTTTAACAAAATGCAGTGGTATAGTGGGTAGGGGGACCCAGCAGGAATTGTCCACGCAGTAAAGACAAGTATTTTGTTACTAACATTGTTCAGCATTGCCCCTGCAAGGTGATCATAAAAAGCAAACTGACTTTTAGTGGCACTACTGTTTAGAAATTCTCTACAGGCAATGCACCCCTATACCTATACTTGCACCCCTATTGCCTACTTGTCCAGCCTCCCACCACTTCCATTCCCTTCACAAGTTACTATAAAATGCTAACAGGAATGAGGAGGGAGTTTGTAGGTGACACCACTCAGAATTCAATGCTACTGGGCTGGGGATTTAGCTCAGTGGCACTGCGCCTGCCTTGCAAGCACAAGGTCCTGAGTTGGATCCCCAGTACCAAAAAAAACAAAAAGAAAAAGAATCCAATGCTACTGAAAGTCACTAAAGCAAAGAGATAGAGAGTAAACATGAACACAGAAATGCAAATTTGAAGGGAATGATGCAGGAGATACTCTTCAGTTTGTTCTTCACTTTTTATCAAATTTCTAACTCTATGTTAACTGAAAGTATTTATCATCTGTCCATTATATTTCTATAAATGAAAAATATATTCAAATTAAATTCACTTCTATTATTAAGAATTATTTCACATATTTTACACCTTTTTGTTTCTTTGAGTTATCAGAGTAATTTTTATTATTTTATTTTCTTGCAAAAAGAATTGTTATTATTATTTCAGTATATGTGGTTCCAAAGTATTTTATTTTATTGCAGTAAGAAACTTTCAATTACAAGATGTCTATATTCTGAGGATCTAATGTACAACACAGTGGCTAGTTAATAATATTGTATGGGATACTTGAAATTTTCTTAGAGAATAAATCTTAAATGTTCTGACCACAAAGAAAAAAAATGGTAGCTATGTGAAGTGATACATCTGTTAATTAACTTGATTTTGGTACTCACTTCATAATTGTATGAATATATAAAATCATCACATAATAGACATTGGATATATGCAATTTTTATTTGTCAATTATGCCTCAATGTTGGGGAAAAAATAAAAAAGTCAATGAACAATATAAAAAGAACCTACCTAATTCCTTAGTATCATCAAGCCTGAACTCTCTTCTTTTAACTTCTCCCTTCCTTTCTCTCTGATTCATCTTTATTCTCACACTCCTCTTAGTTTGTACTAAAATCATAAGACTCTGATGAAATCAGAAAATAATATGGTAATACTGGCCAATGATTTTAATGTTAACTTCCAAGAGGTCCTCTTAGAAGGACTTGTAAAATTTACATCTCATAATAACAGTTCAGAGTTGGGAAAGAATTTAAGTCTACACACAGCTAATAATATCACTTGAGTCATCCTCAAGCTGCTCTCATCTTGTGATCTATTTCCTGTCTGTTCAGGAGCTTCAGGTGCCCAGGACCAGCTTCTGGTCTCAACCAGAACAGTGCTCACAGGCCATTTGGCAATAGGTAAATCAATTGTCAGATTAACATATCCTGCAATGGCCCCAGTGTAATATAAGGCAGGCAAAAAAGAAAGGGAAGAAAAGGTATGATTCCAAAGATCAGAATAAAGAAAAATGCCAGCATATATCAGGACAAGAAGTAGTCTGAGCGGCACCAGCCCCTCAGTTAACCCCCCAACTCCTAAATTCTTGCTGAAAGCTCTTACATTAATATTCTTCTCCATGTGAGTTCAGGAATAGAGAAAGAGTAAGCCTGTTTACATTATACTGAAATATTTATTCCCCAATTGAGTTTGATTCTATATGATGGAAACATTTTCACATCTTTAAAAGTACCCTAAAACTGAAAAGCTTTGGGAAACACTTTTTGGTAAGGTTAGAAGGGACTTTTAGATGGCACATAATATTGGTGGATTGAAAGAATACATGTAAGTCTTTATCCTAAGTCTAGTACTCAGAAACATTAGTTTTTATTATTGTAATTATTATTATACAGTGACATAGGGGGTAGGCAAGCCCAGCAGGAACTGTCTACCCTATGAAGATGAGTATTTTATCACCAACACTGTGCAAAATGGCCCCTACAAGATGATGACCAACTTTTAATGGCACTATTGTTTGGAAATTCAAATACTAGCTTTCACTACAGTCATTGTTGTTATTTCTCTCTTCAAACCTACAACGGCACTGCCTGTCTTGGGATAAGTGCCATAAGACCTAGAAATTGGCTTATATGAGTTATACAGCCACACTGTCTGGACTCTGGGTTTTACAATAGGCACAGTACAACTAAACCTTATCCTAACACAACTTCTATATCAAACAAAATCAGACCTCACCATTCCTATGAGGTTAGTATGAAGGAGGAAGAACTGGTAGAACAAGAAAGGAGAAAAATATGAAAATTCCTCTTCTTTGTTTCCTAGGTATTAAATAACCACGACTTTCAAAGTGTACTCTTACTAGCTGGTAAGATATAGGAAGAGCCTTTCCTTTCCTTATGTGATTAATGAACCATAAGTTAATTAAAGAGCCTCAAAACAGCTTCCATAGAGAATGGTTATCAGGCTCTTGCTAATACATAATACTGTCTTATAAATTGTATTCTTTTGAAGTAAAGTTAATTGTCAGCATTTTAATTTAAACATTTTTAACTCCTACATAAAAACTGTACATATTTATAGGGTACCATAAGATATCTTGATATATTTATATACACATGTTATGAAATGTTCAAATCAGGGTAATATCCCTCAATAATCATCATTTCTTCATGGTAGAAACATTCAAAACCATTTCTTCTAGCTTTTTGTAATATACAGTATACTACTCTTTTTTGTGGTCAACCTACTGTGCAATAGCATACAAGAACTTCTCACTCCTATCTAACCTTTCTCCATCCCTGTCTCCCCCCTACAATGGTAACTACCATTTTACTCTCAACTTCAATGAGATCAACATTTTTATATTCTCCATATGACTGAGAACATGTGGCATTTATCTTTCTGGCTCTGACTTATCTCACTTACTATAATAGCCACCAGTTCCATCCATGTTGTCACAAATGACAGAATTTCATCCTTTTTATGGCTGAACAGAATTACCCTGGACATTTCCTGAGTCCATTCATCAGTTGATGGACACTTAGGCTGTTTCCATATTTGGCTATTATGAATAGTGCTACAGTGAGCACGAAAGTGCAGAAAGATATCTCTTTGACATACTGATTTCATTTCTTTTGGCAATATACCTAAAAGTGGAATTAATGGATCATATAGCAGTTTCAGCTTTAATTGTTTCACTGTCATTATTTTGAGACATCTACTTTCTAAACAAAAATAAATATCCTAACACTGATTCTGTGAATTTCTAATATAGTGTCCAAATTTGGTTTAAAAAGTCATATAACTAAAATCAATAAGATAACATAAAGATCACTCTTTTATTTGGCTATCCTTAATTGATTAATCTCTAATTTTTCTGTGTATATATGAATATTTTCATGATATTTGGCCAATAAAGTGACTCAGTTTCATACTTACCATGTCCTTTGGCTCATAATTTAATATGTAATTCATTTAATCCTGAGTAAATGTCTATTATGGGCCTAGAGAAATGTTACAAACAAAATTCAGCTACTGGTTCTCAAACTTGAACAGCCATCAGAATCACATGGAGGACTTAAAAAATTCAGACTGCTGCTGCACCAGTCTCCCAGAGTTTCTAATTCAGAAGGTGTGTAATGGGGCTGAGAATTTCCTTTCTATAAAGTCTCTTGTGATGTTGACGCTATGAGTCTAAAGACTTGGAGATAAACACTGCCCTAAGCAAAGGTGTTAACTCTCCATCAAAAGAGATAAATATAGGGAAATAACTGTAAGGGAAATATGATAGAAAGACACTAAAAATATTGTAGGTTTAAGTAAGGGGAATTTTGAGCAGCAGAGGGATTGGAAGAAGACAAACAAGCTAAAACTCAAAGGATGGGCATAAGGCATTTTGACAGTAAATGACCAGTAGGGAAATGGGAATAAAATAGGAAGAGGGTAAAACAAGTACCTGGTGAAGGGCACAGCAAGAGCAAATGCACAAAGTAAGGAAAAACACAGTCATGGTCAGAGTATAACCTGTAGTCCAGTGTGAGTATCAATGGCATCTTTGTATGACATAAAAAGACAAAGCTGGAAAGCCTGGCTACAATCATTACAAAGATAGCAAATGCTGTCCTATTTGTACTTTAGTCTTCAGGCCTGTTGACTCTTCAGATGTGGTACAGATCCCTAGAGCGGACTTCTCAACACTACTATCCTTTAGAGCTATATAACTCTTCATGGGAGGCTGTGCTGGTTGTTGTAGGATATTTAGCAACATCTCTAACCTCTACCCATTAAAAACCATCTCCTCTCCTAGGCATGACAATAAAAATGTATGACCATATTGCCAAAGGTCCTCAGAGCCAAAACATACCCTTCCCTCGAATCCACTGAAAGCAACTGCAGTAGAAGGTACATGACAAGGGGCCAGGGCTATTTATAGACTATTAGATTAACATTAACATGCTGATTCCTTCTAAAGCATTTCTTACAAAGATAAGTCATTTAAAACATTAATTGTACATTAAAATTAGAAAACAGGTCACAGAGGAAATTAAAGAAGATATCAAACAGTTCCTTCAATTAAATGACAATGACAACACAACATATCAGAATCTATGGGACACAATGAAAGCAGTCTTACAGGGAAATAGCAGTGAATATGCATTTTAGGAAAACAGAACGAGCCCAATTAAAAAACCTGATGCTGAACCTCAAGCTTCTA